GAAGGGGACTGATAGAACAGCTTTGGTGGGCACCTGGCATCCAGCCAGGGTTAACCCACCACAAATATTTAATCAAAAAATCCAGCATGTAGCTAGTGTGAGAAATTTGTGTAATTCTGACAAAATTGTAAGCCATCAACAGACAATTACCTCGGGAAGCACAGGACAACAGTAGCGGGAGGCAAGGGGAGTGCTTAAATCCCCCTGGAAATAGCACCGATACCTACAAAGTCACAGAAATCACTGCTAGCAGAGAAGTCAACACTTGTTTTATTTCCACCCAAGCCAAATCCCATCCTGAACACACAGTAATGCATTTATAACTAGCTGTGTTCACAGAAGGAACTTGGATGGGCTCCCCATCTCACCGAAATGTATGGATATTTTCCACTTACATGCACAAGGCCAAGATTTCATTCCTGGGAATTGGTGACACCAGAACACTGAACACAAGAATAAATTGCATCTGTGCTTCCAAAATAAACAACAGCACAATACCTTCCAGCTGAAATGATTTGGCCTGCACCCCACTGGACTTCTGCCTTCAATACCAGGGCCAAAAGCTGTGTTAGCTGGTAAAGATTTCTTGGCTCTTGGTGTGGATTAAAAAAAAAAGTTTGCTACACTGCCGAGGGAACTGCTCCACAGCTGCACGTGGCATTTCCAAGCAGACGTGCGAGACAGGCACAACAATATTTGGACCACAACTGGCATTTCTGTGCAAGCATCAGAAGAGGATGGGGTAAAACCATACCAGCAGCAGCACCGAGGTACAGCCAGGAGAGGTCAAGCACCTGGATAGGCCCAAGGGAAAGGAACATACACGGCATCGCTTTGGGGAGAAGATAGCTTGGACATGCGCTCCAAAAGATTCGTCATATCCATTAATGCCAGGTAGTTCAGGGCAGTACGTTTACACTGAAGCAGTACAGGTATCACCAGATTTTATTTTTCTTTATGAATCAGGTCACAAAGCCCAAAGGTTTTGATTTTAAATGTTAAGAACTAGTACTCCTAGGACAATTACATAATCTTCAAGCTCATGTCCTGACAACAAGTTATTGGGAGTAGTTTTAAGACTTAACTTCATCGATCTGGAAATGGGAGTATGTAAGAAATACGAGAATGCATAGAGACCAAAGACTGTGCCCATGGTGCACATTCCTGCGCTGGTATCTCCAAGAAGCTCCACAGAGTCCAGCTGTCCCATTTGCACCGCATTTGCATACTGCTAAACCTGACCTGCATGTCTGCCACAGACTTACCTTTAGAAGCCAGGACATTTTCTATTCCTTTCCTCCCTCAAAACAAATGTTTCCAAGATTCTCGTCTTCCTGCCTTTTTCCTTGAAAACATTAGCATTCAGGCTACTCCTGCAGAGACAGCACCCCGAGGCTGGGCACACCAGTGCCGGCTGCCAGGGTTGCTGTTCCCAATGCCTGCTCCCCATGTTCTGCTCTCACATTTAAGACTCAGTGCTTCATTAGACATAATGACATGAGGGAATTTTCCTTCCAGGTGAATTTGCTGGAGATACTTAGGCATGGTTCATTTGCTGGGGATTTGTCTTTTTCCACAAGTAAGCTGCAACACCTGTATATAGCTACATAGAACTAATTATGACTTAATTCGTACCATGCCAGTGTCCACATGCCAAATCTATACAACTCTTACACTGTTTTTTAGACCATGCATCCCAACTCTCTTAACAGCTTTTCCTTCATTTCACAGGGTAAAGCTTCCCTTAAAAATTAAGCTAATATAACCCGCAAGTTTGTTTGATAACCTTTGGCTGTCAAACACAACATGTTCCCCAGACAGCAGGCTGTGCCATGTAATACACAGCAGAATATGCGCTCTGTGTACTTAGCAAGTCATTGCACTTACAACTAAAGAACTGTGCACCACTAGAACTGAAAAGTACTGAAATGGAGATACATTTAGTTGATGAAATCATACCATCTGATCATATTTTATGTTCAGCTTTTACTTCTGCTTTCAGCACTACTCAATAACATCCAAGCAGTAAAGTCCCCTTAAAAGTGAGCATAAAAGCTTTTGTGAGCCTTACATCTCCTGCTCCATTCTGTATGTACATGACTGGTTAGCATATTGTGTGGCAGCAAACCTTGGACTGCTCATTTAGGATAATGAGGGCAGGTTTAACAATTTGGACAAAGCTCAGCAAATTTCCCATTAACAGTGGCAGGAAGAAGGAAGGGATAAGAATGTGCAAGACACCCAAAAAGGCAGAAACACACTTGAAACACACTTGATAAATCTGTGATTTCAGGCAAAGATACTAAAGTTTCTATTTTAAAATTTTTACTTGTATCCTGAAGAGTAATTGGTGGACTTAAATTTAAATAGCTGGTTTTGAAAAGAAATGGAAGCAGTTGCGCTTAGCTATTGCCATTGCAAAAATCTATTCTGAATAACATCACAGAAAATTTCTAAGATGTGCGGCTCATTTCAATGCCAAATTGCAGCTGAAAGACTCAAAACTAATCAATGGACTGTGAGAAACCTGACTCACGATTTAAAGCCCCAATTTAATTTACACCAACATAATGTTACTGATTTCAGTAGAGGTACTTCTTATTTACAAGGCTATAAGAACTTAAAATCTGAAACGTCAACAATGAGAGGCCTTCAAAGTAGAAAGCATCCATCTGCTACAGAAAAAAACCCTTTAGAATCTAATTTTAGACTTGCAAAGTTTTTTTTCCAGTTATACTGCATGTGTTTCTAAAGCACTCCCAAGAACACAGCACTGGTGTTACTATATACATTGAAGGCCAGATTCACAGACCTTGGTTTGCATTATACCTGCAGCCACCTGTTCTGGAGGTGACACTCCCACCAGTAAATAGTGTTTCTGCTGTCAAGTTTCCTTCAGACAGTTACCCAGGAACAGCCCTAACTCCTACCAGAGCTGCAGTAGTAGGAGCTGCTGATTCAGCATGTTTTCCAGCTGCCCTATAAGATTCCTGTCCCACCTGGAAATGTCTTCTGGCTCCCTCAACTTAGTACAAGATTTAAAAGCACCGCTGTCCCCAGCACCATTTTCTTCGCCAGGGCATGTGGTAGAACAGACGCTAGGAAAAAACAGAGCTCATGTGAGCTGTTCGACTAGACTAGTGTGATTCAAAAGCCCATGAACCAGGATTTCTAACTGGAAGTTTCCTGCTTGTACTACCACAGCCAGAGCATCCTTGCGAGAATTTTAAATTTTTTTTTTCCTTCTAACAATCTTGGCTCATAATTGGCAATAAGGTTTTATGAGCCGAGAGACAGAGGGCAAGATGTTTAAGTTTCCTCAAAAATCTCTAAAGCAAATGAGCATGCTTTTGACTGTACCGATTTCCAAGAAAATTTGTCTTCACTTTAACCCAAGGACTAACCAGTTCATCCTCATTTCTATAAGAGATTCAGAGAGCAAAACCAAACATTATAGTCATGTTATAACTTTCAAAGGACTTTGAATATGGCTAACAGTTCACCATTTTCCCCAAGTATGTTTTTCATGAATTTAAACAGAAAGAGATCTGTTAATATATCTTCTATAGATGGGCAAACCTAGCCTCATATATGTGACACTAAAGGTAACAGTAGAAAATAAGACTACATGCCACACTGCAAATTTTATTCTGGTCAGAAAACACAAGGCATTTTAATCCATGAGAAGACATGCATAAA